ATACTTGCATAGTCTGTACAGTATTTCTATTTATAAAATGTTGGTCCTGTCTGAAAAATTATTCATTAGAAGTGTTACAGGTTGATATAAATATCTAGCAAAAATGTGGTATCATTATCTCAGTTTACATGAAAATAACATTTTGATTTACATTCATTCAATTTTAAATTTCATTCTGAATAGTCTTTAAAAAACCTTTTATTTTAAATAGTTACCAATTTAGAGGAAATTTCAAAAATATACAGAGAAGTTCTTTATGGCCTTCAATTAATTTTTCCCAGTGATAATTATCTTGCATAAATAGTACAGTATGAAAAGTAGGAATCTGATATTGTCAAACCCACAAGTGATTGTTCAGATTTCACTAGTATTATATGTTTAATTCTCTGCAATTTTATTCCACATACACCAGTGCCACTAGTATCACAATCAAGATAGAGAACTGCAGTCAGGCAGGTTAGTGAACCTTTGATTCCAGATACCTGGGAAGCTGAAGCTGAAGGACTGTGGACTTGTAGCTATTCTGGGAAATAAAAGTTAATAAAAAAAAGAAATTGTGTGTTTTTTTAAAAAAAATGAATTACGGTATAAGATACACTGTCATTAATCATCCTCAAAATATCCTCCTTGCTTGTAGTCTGGAGATACACACACACACACACACACACACACACACACACACACACACACATATATATATATATAAATATACCCAAGACCTCATGTTTGCCAGGCAAATACTGTGCCATGGAGTATATTCCCAACTACTCACTTTACTTACAACACAACTACTCCATCATTCTTGAGAAATGTGCATTGTTTTACCTTTTTGTAAATCTCTTTAATGTTTGGCATAGTAGAACAATGCTAGGTCTCATATACTTCCTCATTCAATCTATTGCTATGCAGCATGTCATGGAGCCGCTATGAACATTTTCTGAAGCAGTTTGACAAGTCCCCTTTTGAGAGTATCTTTATGAAGTGTGATGAAAAATATAGTGAACACTACTTTCAAGTGCCATCCAATGGATTTGAAAATACTAAGGTGTGTTGTCTTGTACTTTATTCAGGGATCTGACACTCTATGATTTCTGATTCTTCCCCAGAGTCAAAATGGCAATAGAAAGCAAATGATTTGAGTAGATTCAGATCACTGAGGCAGCTATCACAGTACCACTAAAGATATAAGGACAATCATATAATGTGCAGCTTTCACTCAGCACAATGCCCTTGAGCTCCAGGAAAGTTGCTTTGTTCTTTTTTTGATGCTACCTAGTGTTTCACGGTACAGATGGGCCATCATTCGTGTAACTACTCACTTGTTAATCGGCATTTGCATTGCTTCTAGTTTTAGGCTACTATAAATAAAGTTTCTATGAATATTCATATACAAGTTTTGTGTGAAGATAGTTTTCATTTCTCTGAAATAAATGCCTAAGAGTACAAGTGCTGAGTCATAAGTGCACATTTTGTTTTATAAGAAACAGCTAAATTATTTTTCAGAGCGGCTGTACTATTTTACATTTCCAACAGTGTCTACGTTATTTTGTTTATTTGTATCCATACTAACATTTGTTTTTTTTTAAAGCCATCTTGATAATTATAGTTTTATTTTGCATTTCCTTAATGACTGAGTACTTTTTATGGGTTTATTTTCCATCTATCTATCCTCTTCAACACAACACTCATTTTATAATTAAATTTTTTTGTGTTTTGAGAGGTCTATTTATAGTCTATATTCTAATCCTTTGTTAAATATAGGGTTGATAAATACTTTTTCATGTCTTTATATTCTATTTTTATTCTTTTAACAGAGGGCTAAGCCATAATTTAGATAAGATATAATCTGTCAATTTTTTCCTTACCGTGGTAGTTACTTTTCTCATTGCTGAGGCAAATAACTGATGCCAAAAATTAGGGTAGGAGAAGTTTACTTAACTCACAGTTTGTAGAGGTTTCAGTCAATAATCAGCAGGCTCCAAAGCAGGGTGGTGTGTCAGAGGGGCAAGTCAATGGCAGCAGAAGACAGCAAAAGCAACAAGAACAAAAAGGGAGGAGCAAGCTTTCCTCACTTTTATATTGTATGCTTGCTGCTTGACCTAAGGAGTGTGTAGCACTTACACCTCCAATTCCAGCACTAGACAATCAACCAATCACAAACTCTAGATTCATCTGACTTCCATAAAGCCCCCCACCCATGACTGCATGAGGCTTTTGGGGGACATCCAGGCACAAACTATAACACTTATGAATGATGTTTTTGGTATTGTGTCTAAAAACTTCACTGAGGTCCCTAAATTTTTTTCTCATTTTTTCCCTAAAAATTTATAGTTTCATATTCTTATTTTTATTTTTGTGATAGTAGGGATTGAATCCAGGGATGTGTTCATGCTACACAAGTGGTGTACCACTGAGCTACATTCCCAGTATGTTTTAAATTTGCTTTTGAGATAGAGTCTTGCTAATTTGCCAAGGCTGGCCTTAAATGTGTGACCCTCTTGGCTCTGCCACCTAAGTGGCTGGCATTATAGACTTTTGCCACTGTGGCCATCATTTTACATTTCACATTGAGGTTCATATTCCATTTGGAAATAGTTTTCATATAAGTTATGACGTTTTAAAAAAGATGTGGTTTATTTTAGAATTTCTTCTTTTGCTCACAAATATCTAATTGCTTTGACAGCAATTGTGAATAGTTGCTTTGTTTGTCAAAAATCAACTGGTTATGTGTGTGTGTGTGCATATGTGTGGTCTATTTATTAGTTCTGTTCTGCCCTATTAGTCTATGTATGTGTCTCTGTGTCAAAATCTTACTATTTTGATTACTGAAGCTATATAATGTCTCCCTTACCCCACCCCATGCTGGGGATTGAATTCAGGACTTTGTGTATGCTGGGCAAGTGCTCTACCACTGAGCCAACTCCTTTAAGTCCTAATACTGAAAATAATGACTTCTCTCATTTTGTTCTAAAAATTGTTTCAGCTATTCTATGTCTTTTCAGTGTTATTATTATCATATAATATTAGTGTCTATAGAAACTTTACTGGATTTTTAGGAATTTTGTTTAATACATAGGTTAATTTGGAAAGAATTGCTATCTTTACTAAGTTAAGTCTTTTAATCCATGAATATGATATGTTTCTCCATTTATGTATTTAGGTCTTCTTTACTTCATTAGCATTTTATATTTTTCATCCTACAAGTCTTGACATATGTTGTTAAGATTTCTAACTATTTTATTTTCTTTCGGTGCGCTGTAAAGAGTATTGTTTTTGATTTGGCTCCACAATATTTAGTATATAGAAATGCAACTGAGTTTTACGTATTGAACTTATGTCATGTGATTATGGTGAACTCATTATCTAGTTCCAGGAACACTTTTTTGGTAGCTTTCTTGGAATTTTGTCTTTCTTTTTCCAAAAAAGATGAGAGTGTCATCTACAAATTGGAATAGTTTGATTTATCCCTTTTTATCTGTGTGCTGTAAATTTATTTTTCTTGTCATATTATGCTGCCCCACATTTCCCACATCATGATGTTGAATAATAAATGTTAAGCAAGGGTGGATACCTTTAGTATGTCAATCTTAGGGCAAAGCATTCAGGTTTTTTAAAAAACAGTAGTTTAAGATATTCTGTTTGGTCTAAATTTTGTTTGGTGCTGTTTATTGAGTTGAGAAATCCTCCTTGATTCCTATGTGCAGAAAATTTAAATTTTTTTTGTCTTTTTCACTTTTATTGGTACCTGCGATCAAACTCACGACCGCCTGCTTACAAGGCAGGTTGCTTATGCCGCTGAGCTAAATCCCCAGCCCCGAAAATTTAAACTTTTATCACAAAGAAAATAAGATATTGTCAATTTTTTTTCTGGGTCAATTCACATATATTTTTCTTCTTTACCCTATTGAGGGAATAGATTACATTTTCAAATATTGAGCCAGTCTTGCATACTATGACTTATTCCTAGCTAGTCACATGTGTCTAATTTCACTTTGCTATTATTTTGTGTGGGATATTTGCATCTAGTTCCACGAGAGGTATTGGTCTGCTATTTTCTTTTTTCTATTTCTGCCTGGTTTTGGTGTTGGTAATCCTGGCTCCATAAAATGAGTTGGGAAAATGGTTCCTGCTTCTGTTTTCTAAGAGTTGCTATAAAATTGATATTAATTTCTGTTTAAGTGTCCCAAATTGTCTTTTAATAGGTAAATGACTCTGTCTTTCCTATCTCTCCTCATTTGAACATGAGTAATCCATAATACTTTCACTTTAAAATAGGGACAAAAGTTGCCCATTTGATCTTGCATAAGGTTTTTCCTGCGACATGTGGGGCTAAAGTCCCAATTTCCTTTCACTCCATTCTTAGAAGCAGTCAGTTGAATGCTTGGATATGGTCAACCACACAGCTGATCTAACACAGCTTGATCTTACGGACTCACAATGTTTAGGTAAAGCTGTAACTAGAGGTCTAAACAAAGGAGTGTTAAGTGTACTAGATAAAAGCCTAAATGGAAAATGTGGAGCAATACTCTATTGCCTGCCCTTGGTACATTGCTGGCTTAGCATTTATTCATTGATAGACTTAGAGAACAAAAGGCAGGAGGGTGTAGTTCTTTCTTCCTGTTCTCCATCCTGATAATGTATGAATGGGAAGGATATACATATATATTCTTCAATTCCTAAATATTATTTAATTTAAATTCTATGTTTTTACAAACAAGACACTTAATAGGAAGGTACATTTAAAAAAAGATAATTTTTGTTATTATCAAGACCAATTCTAATTGTTTATGGGGAAACAGGAAGATTCCATTCCTTACGTCTTTCTTGAAGAGAACTTATTTTCTATCTACAAGGCTTTAGAATGTGTTGGGAGCTGAAAACAGAAGGGTCAAATGACTACTATTGGCACTAATATTAAAACTGCCAGTTGCTGTTATAACAGGTGAGTCAATATTAGATTATTATTGCTGCTTTTACGTTTTACCATGTCTTTTTTGCAGGAGCGCCATGGATTACTACAGAAAATATACAGCTGCCATTCTGGCCATCTTGTGTGTATGTCTGCATGATCTCCAATCTTTTCCTGACAGAGAGTATACAATGCAGGGTATGTGACCAATCTGGGTTTCAAGTAATATGGAAAGTACTCATTGCTAGGTATATATCAGTAATGTCATTAATTACATTTCTGTCTCCTTTTCTAATGTGGTAAATCTTCACTGCTGCATAGATATCTAGGCCCTTATAGATTGTGAATATGAAATTAAATTAAGTTTATAAGACTTACAGTGAAAATAGTATCTTAAAAATCAATTTAAATAGCGTGCATATTTTCATCTACAATAGCTTCTTTATTATTCTTTACCTGAGTTTTATAAGAAGAAAACTATTTGGTTAGCTCAGTTCCTCACCTCTATTTCTTCAAGAGATCTTGAAATTTTAACATTGCCTTTGTAGACATATTTTCACATCAGTGAATGTGTGAGAAAAACAAAATAAATTTTATGTAGTAAACTTGTTTTGCTGCATTCTTTGAAAAATCTCATATAATGGCTAATATAATTCCATTATTCTTGAAACTGTGAGCTACTATTGGTTATAGGTTTTCTTTAGACAAATGGTGATATTTTAATCCCATGTTCCAAGGGCGGATGTGTGGTGTAATATCAGACTCTATATTCACCAAACTTTCTTAATTCTGACAGTTTTCTCTGTCAATATTTGAAATTGCTCACTAAATCTGTTGGAAGACAAATTAGGTAAAAATCTTGAAGACATAGGAAGAGGTAGAGAATTCATGAACAGGAATCAAACCGCATGGGAAATACTTCCCAGAATCAATTACTGGGATCATGTCTTATTAAAAAGTTTCTGCATGTCAAAAGAAATCTCCAGCATAGTGAAAAGAAAACCCACAAACTGGGGGAAAATCTTAGTCAACTGTCCCTCAGACAAAGGACTTCTGTCTAAAACGTGTAAAGAATTAAAAAAAAATCAGACCCCTGAAAATCAAAGACCCAATCCAAAAATGGGCACCTGAGATGAATACACAATTCTCAGATGAAGAAATACAAATGGCAAACAAATACATGACAAAATGTTCATCATCATTAGTCATTAGAGAAATGCAAATTAAAACAACACTGAGATTCCATCTCACTCCAGAAAGAATAGCCAGAATCAAGAAAACTGCCAACAACAAATGCTGGAGAGGCTGTGGGGAAAAAGGAACTCTCTTGCACTGCTGCTGGGAGTATAGACTGGTGCAACCATTATGGAGGTCAGTCTGGAGATTCCTCAAAAAGCTGGGATTGGAAGTTCCATTTGACCCAGCTATTCCTCTTCTAGGCATATTCCCAGAAAAACTGAAAACATCATACCACAGTGATATATGTGCACCCATGTTTATAGCAGCACAATTTGTAATAGCCAGATCTTGCAAACCACTTAAATGTCTCTCAATTGAGGAATGGATAAAAAAGTTGGGGTATTTTTATACAACGGAGGACTTCTCAGCTATAAAGAATGATCACAATGAGATATTTATAAATAAATGGACACAACTTGAGACCATACTCATAAGTGAAATAAATCAAACTCACATGTATAAATACTTTATAGTCTCCCTAATATAAGAAATGGTAAGAGTATGTCAGATTTTATGGTAATCGTGATTCCCTGTTACTTTTCTCTGAAGCCTTATAGTGTTTTCATTCATTAGTTGAAATGATTTTATTCTGTTTTGTTTGATTTTATTATGTGTGATGGTATGAACATCTATTTTGAAGAAAACAAGATATTATGGCAGCCATTGCCGATTTCATATCATCTTGCTTTGAAGTCCTACCATGCTTTTGTTTTTCTGTTTCCATTGGTTCTATCATGTTGTATCTTACTGGATTTTAATGTGTGTGATAATATAAACACATTTTTTATGGAAAATCATATAATGTAGTAGCCATTGTTCGTTTTCTGTTATTTGGTTCTGAATGCCCTGTAATAGTTTCATTCTTTTGAATGGTTTTATACTATTTTGTTATGCTTGATACTATTGTATGTTGAAGGTATGCTCAACTATTTCAAAGTAAGAGTCATGGTAGCTACTGTTAATATCTGTTTGTCTTGTGGTGAAGTGCTGTGTTGCTTAAACTGTTCTGTTTTGATCTGCTTTGTTTAATCTCTTTAAAATAAAGTAAACAATTAAAAATGTTTGAAGTTTCTATGTGGATAAATAATAGCATATTCTGAAAAGGGGAATACTTTGCTGGGCAAAAGTCTTTCAGGTAAATATGACGTTTTCATCAGTCAAGTTTTATGTTTTTTCTAGGCATATTGTTAGCACTGGGATAGAGGATCCATGCTCAAAGAGAAAGAAACTATTTTAACTAAGATACCCATGCAAGTCTGAAAAATTTTTTTCACAGGAAGGTGACTGTACTAATGAGTATTCAATATGAAGAATAACGTTTGGCCAAAAAGATTGATTTATTCTTTATTTTAAATGGAAAAATATTTACCATCTCATACTAAAATATTCATGACTTCTTTTTGAATCACTTTTGAGTTTCTTCTTCTTTTTTTCTTAATTTGACAGGTTGCCCAGAATGTAAGCTAAAGGAAAATAAGTTGTTCTCCATGTTGGGTGACCCCATTTATCAGTGCGCAGGCTGCTGCTTCTCCCAGGCATATCCCACTCCAGCAAGGTCCAAGAAGACAATGTTGGTTCCAAAGAACATCACTTCAGAAGCCTCTTGCTGTGTGGCCAAAGCATTTACCAAGGTAAAAATATGAAAGGTGCCAGAAGCTTTCTAGGAGCCCATCAGAGAAAGGCTCATGGGGCAGAACAGACTAGTGGTCACTAGAGGCAAGGAAAGGTCAAGGGGATGGAGGACAGAAGGAGGCTGATTATTGAGAGCAAACACAGCTACATAGAAAGAATAAATTTTAGTGTTTCATAGCACAGTAAAGTGACAACAACTCACCACAAAATACAAAGAATTAGAGAACTAGAGAACTAGAAAAAGTGAGTCCAAAGTTTTCCAACACAAAGAAATACCTGTGAAGATGTAAGTGCTAGTACGTTGATTTGATTATTATGTATTGCATGCATGAACCCAACTGTCACACTGTATCCTATAAATATGTACAACTGTTATATGTCAATAAAAAGTAAAGTTTCAAAAAAGAGTCAGGGCACTGGGATGTAGTGCTGTGACAGATATTTGCCTAGCTCTGGTTTCATCCTTAGCACCACAAAATAAATATGTAACATCAATTGATAAGATTTTTAGGGACTGGGGAGGTGGCTTTGTGGCAGAGCACTTTCCTTTCATGCATAATGCTTCACTACCAACACCATTTTGAAAAAAAAGGAAGAAGAAAGAACTAAGAGTCAGTCAGGCTGGAATTATTCAGACTGAAGGGTTGGTTAGAAAAATATGAATCTAAACTTTTAGAGTGAGAGTATCACTGAGAAATAACAAATATACTAATGTAGCAATTATCTGTTTAGCTCAGCTGGCTATAATTTTATTTACCATTTTCCAATTTTGTCCTTTTCTCTCATTTTCCCTCCTTGCCCCTTAGGTCACAGTTAAGGGAAATGTCAGAGTGGAGAACCACACGGAATGCCACTGCAGCACTTGTTATTATCACAAATCTTAAACCTTTTGCAAAATGCATGATGATGATTACTGATTCCATGGGATGGAAATTCAAGTTGCTCAGTGTTTGTAGCCTCACAAATTAAAGCCCTCCTTTCCTTACCAGACCATTTTGATGTGCTTCAAGGATATACAGCAGCTTTATCCCTTTCTCCTTATCCTACAGTATAATCAACAGTCTAGCTCTTTTCATCCAGAATGAAATAGAGTGTTTAGTATGATCATAAAAACCTGGCTCCATGGAAAATAAAGCCTTTAAGCTATCATTCAATCACTGAATTATCACTATTTTTCTTAAAAGTAAAGCCAATTGATTGTTGTAGAATTTATGGAAGTGAGACTGGCCAGTGGGTGAGATGGGGCTGTGTGCACTTAGTGAACTGACTTTAGAGAATCTTATTCCCACCACATCTTCTAGAAACAAACTGCTTCTAATTTAGTCAGCTGGTCAGTTATGAGACAATCCACTGGAGTGGAAGAAACAAACACAAGAACTTCTATTTCAATTCATTTTTATGACGTCTTGTCAATTTCTGTTTTGATGGGTTTTACAATAACATAGTTGCAATATTATGGTGACACATGTATACAATTTTTAAATGAGTAATTATTTTCATATTAGGGACATTTGATCAGAAACACTTTACTGGTAAATGTATACAATCAATAAGTGAACGGATAAGATGTAAAGCACAGAGGTAGAGCGCACACCTAGCTTGTGCAAAAGCCTGGGTTTGGTCTCTGGCACTGAAAAAATACCTCCAAAACCAAACCAAACCAAAACAACAATGAATCAACCAATCGAAATGATAACCAACTAACCAACCAACCAACCAAACAAAAACTACTGACTTAAGAATTTTGTAAAGACAAAATCTTTCCTAGCCTGAAGTTCCTACTTGGCTTAAGTTGATCAAAATGAAGTGCATCCTGTTAGTCTCTGGCAGTCAGGCTGGGACCAAATGGAGGCTAAGAAAAGACTATCATTGTTGTCAACTAAATTGATGTATGTCACTAAAGTTCCAGAGACACTGGGTCATCTATCACATGTTCAGATCTGAGTGAGAATGCACAAATACTGAGAAAGATATCCTAAGCACTCACTGTATGCTAAGTGGAGTATCAAACACTTTCATTTAGCTACAGCACAATGTCTTCTGCAGGTTTCATGCTTCAAGCTCATATTTATGAAACATTAAGATTTAGAAGCAAAATGATTCTTCCTTGAATACAACAGTTTTATACCCATTAAATCATAGTTTAAAGCTACTCAGAAACTGTACCTCTTACAGGAGCCTGAAATTTTAAAACAAGTCTGCAATTTAAAGTTATCACACTAGTCACAGATAAAATTAAAAAAAAGTTCAGCCATCACCAATTTGTCAATATTCCATTTCTGAGTAACAAGCCAGTTCCTTAACAGCTTGGTAAACAGAGCAGATGTCAGGGTAAAAAGTTAAAGGAGATGTGCATACTTTTTAAGTAATATGGAAGCATACATGAAAATTTTAATTCTTTTGTTCATTCATTTATTTATAAGTGTTTATTATACATTTGTTCAATGCCAAGTAGGTATTGATATTTTGTTAGTTTTTGAGAATTCAGAGATATCAGGATTCTATAGAAGACAAGGTAGATAAAAGACCATGTGGCTTAATATGGGAGAAGAAAAGTGCTGATCATTGATTCATCCAAATACTTAACAGCTGTTCACTGATAATCCATTGCGTTCAGTGTCTGAGAGCTTGTTTGGAGGGCCTCAGGTGAGAAAAACAACCACCACACCCTTGAATGGAGTGTTCTTGTTAGTCTAAGATGATCTTGCTTGATAGAGGGTTGTCGTTATAGTGATCTCTCAGTTATTCATGTGCCAGTTTTGAGGTTGGTCTTCGGAAGGCCAGTGTGAATAAGACATAAACACTACCTGAAGCAATTTAGACCAGTAAGGAGGAGAGACATGGTTACAATCGAGTGAGAAATACTTTATGAGAGGGATCTGGATTTTGATGACATAAAGGGAAGGATGACTAATTTGGCCTTTTGAAATTTTTCATGGAGTGCTTCACAGGGCAAGGTGGTATTTGGGTAAGTTTAGATGATAAATAGGTATTGGGGAGGAGTATATTCTAGGTTAAGAAAATAGCATAAGCAAATGTGGTAAAATTATAAACAGTATGGTGGTCATAGAATTGCAAGGAATTCAGTATGATTGGATTGCAGGAAGCTGTTTGGAAGGGTACAGATGCAGATACAAATAGGTGAAAAACTGGAAGCTTTCCTTCTAAAATTGGGAACAAGATAAGGATGTCCACTGTCATTACTCCTGCATTGTCAAGCCACAGCAGTGAAACAAGGGAAAGAAATAAAAGGGATAAATATAAGAAATAATGAAGTCAGAGTAATATTATGTGCAAATGACATGATCCTCAACCTATCTGGCCCAAAATACTCCACCAAAAGATACCTAGAATTAAGAACCAAATCTAACAATATAATATGATACAAAGTAAACATACAAATATCAATAGTGTTCCAAAACACTAATAATGAACTCACCAAGAAAGAAATAAGAAAAAAATACCATTCACAACAGCATCAAGAAAAATTAAACATGGATTAATCTAACCAAAGGAGTGAAAGGCCTCTACAGTGAAAATCATATCATTCTGAAAAATTGAGAAGGACATCAGAAAATGGAAAGATATTCTTTTTTCCCAGATAGAACCAAGGTAATCAAAATGACTCAATTTCCACAATTGATATGCAAATTTATTTTGATTTTAATCAAAATACAACAGTATTTCTTACATATCTGTAGAAAAAAATCCTAAAATCCATATAACAAGAAGAGACCCAGAATTGCAAAAGCAATGCTGGATAACAAAAGCAAAGTGGGAAACACCACAATTCCAAATGTAAAGTTATACTACAAAAATACTATAATTAAAACAACATGATACTGGTTCCAAAACAGGCATGTGGAATAACGGGACAGAAAATAGAAAGTAGAAACAATTCCTCAAATGTTCAGTTATTTGATCTTTGACAAAGGGACAAAAAGCATCACTGGATGAAAGATAGCCTATTTATTTATTTATTTTTGATACCAGAAATCAAACTCAGGACCTTGCATTTGCCAGGCAGGTGATGTGCTGTTGAGCTATATCCCTGGCCCCAACACAGCCTTTTAAAATAAATTTTTCAGGGAAAAATTGCTGCAGTATACACCTTCTGAAGATCAAATCTAGACCCATATATCTCACCATGTACTAAATTAAAAATTGATTACTTATCTATTAAAACAGAAACACTTTATCTGCTGGAATGTAAAACAAGTAAAATTTTTGAAAATAAGCATAGGCAAAGATTTTCTGAACAGAATCCCCATGGCACAAAAATTAACACAATGAATCAACAAATGGGGTCACATCAAATTAAAGTTTCTGAACAGTAAAGAAAACTAACACAGTGAAGAGACAACCCACAGAAAGGTAAAAAGTTTTGTGGTTATTTCTCAGAGAACTAATATCTAGGCTATATAAAGAACTAAAATACACCCTTGAAAATAAAAGATCCAATCAAAATGGGCAACTAAAATGACTAGATATATCTCAGATGAAGTGCAAATGGGAAATAAGTCCATGAAGAAATGCTCAACATCACTGGCCAGTAGAGCAATGCAAATTAAAACAAATTAAAGCAACATTGAAATGCTGTCTTATTTTAGAAATAATATCTATCATCAAAAAATCAAATTATAATAAATGCTGATGAAGATATGGGGAAAAGTGAATTTTTGTACATTGTTAATGGGAATGTAAACTACTATGAAAATCAGTGTAGAGATTCCTCAAAAAATTAAAACTAGAAAATTGTGCTTGATTCATCTGTTCCCCTTCTTGGTATTTTCTTGAAAAGATTAAAGACGTAACAACACATGAAATACAGGTGTACTCATGTTTATAATAATACAATTTATAATAGTTATTCTTTAAAATGGCCTATATATCTGCTTATCAACAGATAAATAGATAAGGAAAATGTGGTATTTATATACACTGGAGTACTACTCTGTCATTAGGAAAAATAAATTTGAGGCATTAATAGGTGAGTGGAGGCAACTTGAAACCGTAATGTTAAGTAAAATAATTAAACACACAAACTTAAACCATGCAGGGTGTGTTTGTTACTTTTCTCTCATGTCTGAGACAAAATACCTGACACCCCAAATTAAGGAAGGAAAGGTTTATTTACCTCAGAGTTTGTGGAGGTTTTAGTTTGTAATCAGCTGGCTTCAAGACAAGGTAGCATGGCATGGGAGCAACTTATATTGTAAGTAGGCTACCATCCTCACAGGGGTGGGTATAGTAACCACACCATCTCATGCCCTCCTTTTTCACAGGCTCAGAATGTTTTCTAAGTGAGGACACTGGCTCTTGGCTGAGTTGCTTAGTTAAATTTGTTAACTTCTCAAATTGACATAATATATCAACCATAACAATCAACCCCTCGTCAACTTGACAACCAGGCATATTTCTTTAAACTGGCCATCAGATACAAAGACATGCTTATGCTTATCATTTGACAACTTGAACATTATAACACAGGCTTAAAAACTCTAAAGAACTAGAGTTAGGTCTATGAAAATTATCTTACATTAGAACCATAACATTGCATCCTTGGCTCCCTCCAAAGACTCATGCACATCCCTTTATGCAAAAGATTTTTAGTCCATCTCCAAGAGTTGTTAAAGTCCTAACACTCTCAGCATTGCTGAAAAGTCCAAGTACCAAGTCTCCTCTGAGATTTAAGGAGAACTCTTAGTTGCAATTCCCTCTATATTTGAAAAGTTAAACACTTTCAACATTCAATGGCACAAAATAAAGATTTTCATTCCAAAATTTACAAACAGGGAAATACAAAGGATGGGGACCAAAGCAAGTCCAAAGTCCAGCAGGGCACACATTAACTGCAATAGTTACATGGCCAGCATCTGAAGTAATCTGTGGCAAATTGTGAGCTTCAAAGTGTTTGAGTAACTATTCGTATGGCACTTCTGGTGGTTGAGTAACTATTCGTATGGCACTTCTGGTGGTTGCATGACTTCTCTCTTAGACATGTTTTGCTCTCTCCTTGAAGCTTTCTTTAGATGATCACATTCCTAGCTTTTCCAAACTTCTGGGGTCTCCGCTGCACCTTCAGCTTCACAGTCAAACCTTCACACACTACTCTCTCATGGGCACATGCCTAGCCTCCCATGCCTTTTGAAAT